TTTTTTTTACGGGCCGCGGGTTAACCGCGGCCCGTGGGGGTGCAACCCGCGAAGCCCGCGGGTTACACCTCCTTGACCCGTGAACCGCCCGCACGGGTCACGGGTCGGCCCGCGGTCCCGGTTTTCACGGGCCGGTTTTTACGGGTCATGGCCGGCCCGTCCGTCTTGACACCTCTAGATGCACATATGGTGATTGGCTTTTAGCTTCTATTATATTAATGAATCTACTACAATACAAGCAAAGGCATTTCTTTTATGCTGCTCCCCAGTCCCCACTGAAGCTGTTCAAGCAGTTTGGATTACTTACAAATTGCTTAGAAGTTTATTTCTATATTTTCCTTGACCAAGCAGAGTGTTTCCTCTTTTTTTTTTTTTTTAATAAGATACTCCTTGCAACGACCTCTACTGATGGAAAATGCCGAGTATTCTCTACTTTCATTAAAGGCGTGGACACAAGGTACATTTCATAAAGTTTCAGTGCATTCTTGCTTCACATTCTAATTCTTCCCTTCACTTTTTTAACAGTCGTATGTTGTTTGTATGCTATTAACCAGGGACTCTGCAGGTTCTTCTGCAGATTCAAAATTCGGAGAGGTTCGAATTCATTTCTTTTCACTCCTGTATCTTTTAGGAGCCTATGAGGTCCTTTATATGCTAGGCAACATATTACTTGATTAATTTGGATAGAAAATGCTTTTATAGAACACAGATTGTCGTTAAATGTATTGCTAGAACATTGGGCTGTAACTCAAAAACCTAATTCTGCATATAAAGCGGAAGGAACATTCACAAATTTTGTTCAACTATACTGAAATTTTTGGGCTGATTCTCTCAGCTTTAGTTCTGTTATTCATGACTAGAAGGTTCAACCACTCCCTGTCTAAAAATAGTGCAGAAATATCACTGCTTCGTTGTCTGACATAAGAGCCTTAGAGAATCACTTCATGTTCCATTTTTCTTTTGTGGTCCCAACTACTACTTATTCTGGAATACATTCCATTTTTGGAAGTGTCTATTAACTGCATTCTGAAGTACCCTTTGTCTCGGCAAGTATCAGATATCATCTTGCCCACAAATATATATTGTTTGGTCAGACTGTCAACCGGGCATATGAGTTTTATATTGTATCCTATTGTGTGAGCCATTTGAGTAAACATTTCTATATTGCAGTGGTCCATATCTTGTCTTTTAGCCTGGTTTCCCCTACATGTATTATTGTTTACTTAGCTCTCATCTTTGCAGATATCTTATATTTTTCATTTTTACGTTAGATTATTTTGCATGTACCAAATGTTGCATTTATGCTGTTTGGAAAAGATTCAACCAGATCCTGATAAATGAAAGACTTCCTAAAACCGGTGATTTCTCTGGGAAACACTTGAAATATCGTAAAGTGTTGTAGATCTTATATATGAAACAATAGTAAAGGCTAAAAAAATTGATTAGCGAGGATGATCTATACTCAGTTTCACTTAAAATAGTGCAGGTTAATGTAGATATTTTCACCAAAATCTGCTTTCTTTTAAGTTGCTTTTTGTATCACTATCATATATTTCTCTGGAAGAATCGATCCATAATCTAATATTCTTTCACTCTTCATGTCTGAGCAGCAAATTATGCAGCTTGATCTCTCATTTTGTTGGGCATTCGGCATCAAGTGGTCTCCAAGTGGCAATACGTTTGCCTATGTTGGTCAGAAATTCATCACTATGCGTTGTTTCAGATATTACTTTTAGTATCTTGTTCGCTGAATATAGCTATTTTTTGGGATGTGATCTGAGATGCTATAAATTCTCTCGCAGCTGAATGCTAATGATGAGTCAGGGTTGGACTGTACATCTAAAACATTTACAGAACTTCTAATTGTATTCATTTAATTTGTTTGATACTTGTGGACAAATCCTCAGGTCATAATTCCATGATATACTTCGTTGATGATGTCGGCCCTTCTCCATCAGCCCAGAGTGTAGCATTCCGTGATTTGCCCCTTCGTGATGTGGGTCAGCATCCACTCTCAAGCATTTTACATGATTTATTGTGATCTTATATTTTATGTTGGTCCTAATGAATTACCCGATTGGTGCGTGTAATTTAGGTTTTGTTCATTTCTGAGAGAATAGTTATTGGTGTGGGATTTGATTGCAATCCAATGGTTTTCACAGCAGATGAAAGTGGATTATGGTGAGTCAAATTTCTGAAATAAACTTTTCCATCTTTTGGCATGTGTCTAATTTGATGCAAATATAAGTAGAAATACACTTTCATATGTATGCTTGCTACAAGTCATCTGTTATCCCAGGTCAATTATTTGTATGAAACAAGTTCATTTAAGTTAAAATCTTGCCCTTTGCTTAATCCCTAAAAGCACTCAGAACTTGGAGCTCAGTCCATTATGTAGGACATTAAGTCTTCTATCGGTATCATACTTTTTCGTTTGTTCATATTAAGGATGATCGAGTAGCTTATATGAAGAATCTTATATTAAGTATTTTTTACTTCTGTATCTATTGCTAGTATGTAATTTTTGTTACCCCTCGGCACTTTTCTGTGTTTCCATTCACGGTATAAGAAAGAAAAGAACAAGACTCACACATTAAGGTCGGTGTTTATCCGCATATGGTGGTTACCTTTGATAAGTTTGGAAATTAATATTTTTATGGACTGCTTAAATGTTAAATTCTGTATTATAATTTTGAAGTTATTTGCGTAAAAAACTGTTGAAGTTAATTGGTGTTATCTGTTTTTGTCATCTTCAGGAGTTTCTTGAGATTCCTTGATGAGAAAAAAATAGTAACTTTGAGTTCAAGATATGGTTCACAGGTATACATGTTTAACTTTCGATACTTTTCTTCTGTTTCGTAGGTTTGGAGAGTGTTGTCATGGGTATGTCATGCTTATTGGTGGGCATTGAATACTTGTTAAGGTCGGGCAATTCCTAATTGTTCACACTTTTTTTTTTCCAGTTTTCAGAAACATTTGGAAAATTTTACGGCCAATCAAAATATGGGGCGAGCAATGACACTTCTGAACCTTCAAGGCGACGTGGAACCACCCATGAAAATTGCATCAAGTACTATATTGCTCTACTCGTGTTTGCTTCCGTGTTTTGATCTATATCATTATGCACCTTGTGTTTGATTTATATAAACATGATCAAGGCCGTGACCTTTTTTCTTCTTTCATTTTTCCATTTGAAACTCTAGTTCTATTGTGGCAATGAAGAAAGCAGGGGATTCTATATCGACCCGGTTCAGCACTTCTGGTTAGTTCAAGCAGACTCGACTTTTACATTCGTACATATGAACGCACCTATTTATAAACCGATCACCTATTCATTTCAGGATTGGATGGGAAGGTAGTTATATGGGATCTAAAGAGCCAAGAAGATCTGTCAGAATATTTTTGAGTTCGAGAAAATGCTTGCAGCCCAGTAGCCAGTCGGGGAATTATGTTTTATGGGATGATTTAAAGATGCTAGTGAAGTATAGTTTATTATGAACTTGTAATTCCTTGGACAAGTAATAAAATTGCTTGGTAGAATAGCTCTCTTTGTACCCAATTTGCAAGAAACCTCTTGATCTTGACTATTTAAGCTCGTTCATTTTTGTGTTTTTTTTGGCCCCAAAGATCCCATAGAATAACTACTGTTGGCATTCCCAGTTTTTTACCTTATATATGATTGAAGGATGAATATTTACTTCATTGTTTTATTTTCTAACTTAATTTATTCTAAATTTTATCAATTTGAGCACACATGATTCTGAGTCATTCGACATGTGGAGTTAGGCCACTGTAAATGTTGTCTCTGATCAGCACACAGAGTTGTTCGTATATTCTTGTCGTCTAGTCAGATATCAAGTTTCGCCCACCATCATTCAAATAGCAGTTTGGGTACACATGGTAACAAGTCATTTGATACATGGAGTCAAGGGTAGACGTCGTCTTCAATCATCACACATGGAGGAGGTGTTTTTTAGTTAGTAATCAAGTATCGTCGAATGTGTCATTGGGATTCAATAGCAATTTGAACCATATAGTATCGATTTATTCGATACATGGAGTCAAGTCAGTGTAAACATTGCTTGATCAACACACATTAACATGCTCTGGTTGTCTAGTCAGCAATCAAGTTTCGTCCAATCAACGTCCTTGCATACAATCAACTACAGACGTGCTATTCAATTGGCGTTATCAATAATCAATCACATTTCGTCAATAACTCTTGATATCTTCTATTACATGAATTAAATGATTCGTCTTGTTATCGTCTAGATCATGTCCGGTGCAGACCAATTCCCGAATTACAAGGCATTCTCTTTCGAAATAAGTTGCTTATAAGTAAACTTATAACCTCACCCAAACATGCTCAAAGAAGTTGAGACTTCGACCAAATGCCACTGTACAAAGGATAAACCTTTGCTAAGTTCTCTGTACTCCAGTTCAGTCCTAACCCAGCCAGAATGTTATCCTCTGCCCACGCGCCTCGTCTGGTCCGCTCCCCTAGCCACCGTCTCCGACCTATCAATAGCCTCCACACCGCCCAATCCTCACCCCTTCCCACCACCGCCACCGAATCCTCCCAAATCCTCACTATCCGCAAATCCCTCTTGACAAAGCAGACTACTGCCGTCGACCTTGCCCAGTCCTTCCTCGACCGCATCCGCCGCACCGAGCCCCATTTGAAAAGCTTCCTTTATGTCTCTCCTGATGATGCCATCTTGAAACAGGCCGATGAATTGGATAATAAGATTAAGAACAATGAGCAGCTGGGTCCACTTGCTGGGGTTCTGGTTGGAATTAAGGATAATATCTGTACTTCCGATATGCCCTCGACTGCGGGGTCGAGGATATTGGAAAATTATCGTCCGCCATTTGATGCCACGGCGGTGAGGAAGTTGAAAGATTCTGGGGCTATTGTTGTTGGAAAGACGAATTTGGATGAGTTTGGTATGGGGAGTACTACAGAAGGCTCTGCTTATCAAGTTAGAATCTTTTACTACTCAATGTTCTTTTTGAAATAAATACGTTTAATATTGGTGTGTAATTCTGACGTTTGGTGAGTAACATGCGAGTTTCTGTAAGAGAATTGAACACTGAAATGCTTGATTGTGGAGTAATTGGAATTGAATCAGGTGAGTTTTTAGAGGTTTTATCACATTTTAAAGATGTAGGATTTTGGATTAAATTTTGTGAAATTTCTCCACGAATGAAAGTGTGGTTAGATTTTATATTGGCAAAGGAACTTACTTTGTAGCATAGAGTAGCACACTTCCATTACGTGCTGCAATGATTGTGCTTATTTCTGTGAGATGAAAATTATGGCATTTAATTATCTCGAGTTGCAATTGGTAGATTGCTCGAAAGGTTGAAATAGTGTGTATGCAATTGATACTTTAAGTAGCTCAACCTGTTAAGGTTATTGTCCCACACAAGAAACTAGTAGTATAAAAGACTGGTCGCCTTGTCCATGATAGGAATTAGAAATATTGTCTTGGTTACTTCCATTCGCTTTCTATATAGTTGGTGCGTTGCACAGCTCATATTGATACATTGTACTGATGTATCTATTGCACTAGCAACCTGGGTGGTGTCTAAAATCAGTCTCAAGTGATGGTAGATTTCTTCTTCATATCTGGTGACAGTGAGCATAATATTGGTACATTGGGATTTACTTTGTGCAATTACTTTTTCTTAGTGTTCATAAACATTAAGGAAGAAAATGAATAATTAGCCTTAAAGTTTATGACTTGTTATTGAATATGGTTTACTCAGGTATACTTCTTCGTATTCATTAGGTGACAGCAAATCCTTGGGATTTGTCACGGGTCCCAGGAGGATCATCAGGGGGCTCGGCTGCTGCTGTTTCTGCTAGACAATGTGTGGTATCATTGGGAAGTGATACTGGTGGAAGTGTTAGACAACCAGCAGCCTTTTGTGGTGTTGTCGGATTGAAGCCAACATATGGACGTGTTTCTAGATATGGGCTTGTGGCATATGCATCTTCTTTGGATGTTATTGGATGCTTTGGTTCATCTGTCGCAGATGCAGGGATTCTCCTTCACACAATTTCTGGTTATGATAAGTTTGATTCCACCAGTAGTAAGCGAGTAAAGTTCAAAAATCCTTTATCTTGATAATTTTCAATTGTACTGCATCATCAACTGATTTGAACTGAACTTTTGTGCTTCAATACTGCTGAATCTATAATTCATTGGTGTCAGTTAAACAAGAAAAGGAATCGAGATGATTTTATAAAATAAAAGAGAAAAGATGATTGGAAAATATAATATGATTAGAGCGATAGAAAAAAACTAGATAGAGCTTGATAAATTAGTCTGTAAAGATCTTGTTGAAAGCTATGCTTTTTCAGGAAGTACCAGACTTCACATCCCAGTTTGCTGGAAAAGATTACTTGGAATCCAAACCCTTGAAAGGACTGAGAGTTGGTGTGATCCGTGAAACATTTGGTGATGGGGTTGATCCAGAAGTAATCTCTTCAGTTCGTGGTGCTGTTACTCATTTGGAAGAACTAGGGTGCTTTGTGTCAGAGGTAACCTTCTACCAAGTATCTTATCTGCCCTTTTGTTTTCATTGCTTAGCTAGAAAGTGGAGTTAATCCGGTTCAGGGATATTCTTTGTATGTTATATCAGGTCTCATTGCCATCATTTTCCCTCGGGTTACCGGCATACTATGTCCTTGCATCGTCTGAATCATCTTCTAATTTGTCTCGCTATGATGGAATTAGGTGATATACCATTTCTTTTTCCTTTTATTTTTCAAATTGAATGTTGAGAAATTTTACTTATCAATGGAAATAACTCAAGTATTTTGGTAAATTGCTTTACATCCATCTTTTTTTTTTTTTTTTTTTTNTTTTTTTTTTTTTTTTGTAGATATGGAAACCAGGTATTGGGAGACGAACTTAATTCTCTTTATAGCCATTCCCGTGCCCAAGGTTTTGGCTCTGAGGTATGAATCATCTAAATTTGTCTTGTTTAAAAAGTTCTTCAGTTCTATTTTTGACATAATAATAATAAGTGATACAATTGTGAAAAGTTCTTTACAATAATGTTCAACTTGTGTCTCTGGCTTAAGGAAAATTACTGCAATTAGTGACGTACTAGTAACATTTGATTACAACATTACAGGTGAAAATGAGAATTCTAATGGGTACATATGCTCTTTCTGCTGGTTATTATGATGCGTTTTACAAGCGTGCACAGCAGGTACAATAATACTTTCTCTTCTAATTTTAATTAAGTAGCAGCAGGGTTAAGATTACTTGGATAATGAAACGCAACATAATGTGATTGCTTGATCAACAATTGGGACTGGAAGTAATTTGGTAGTAAATTGTCTTTATAATGTTTTTGACATATGTGACGTTGTGTGCTCTTATTTATAATGTTTGGCCCATACAAGGAAATCTGTGATTCATGTAGTGATTTAGGTGAGGACCATAATTCGAGACAGCTTCAGGGCAGCCTTGGAGAAAAATGATATTCTGATATCACCTGCATCTCCATCTGTTGCTTATAAGATTGGTATGGCTGTTACATACTCCACTTTTTCTGTTAGCATATTGTTCAACAAGTATCTCCTTATTTTACAGTACCATTGTTGTTAATTTATTTTGTTAATCAGGACTAATTATCCTTAATAATTTGATTATTATGTCCAGGTGAGAAGAAAGATGATCCATTGGCCATGTATGCTGGAGATAAAATGACTGTGAGTCGCTCTAAGCACTTGTTTTTTTCTTGTAAGTGTTAACTTGTCGGTCATTGGTGGTGTTTGGATGGAGAAAGCCAACGACCTTCTTAACATGCTAGGAGCATAAAAAAGTAGGCTCTTAGCCACCTCTCATCTGAATACCATTTTTATATGAAATCATGGTATAATTATCTTTATATTTCCTTTTTCCTTTTTCTGTTTTCATTTCTTTTATTTAGAAGATTCAGGTGGAGGTGTGGGAGGATGTTGTATTGAGTTAACTAAATTAGGCCTGTGCTCATTATTGTGCTTACGAAATACAGAAGCTATTTCATCAAAACACACGTTATTTACCCCCCAACCATGCTTATAGGTACAAAATTTCTTTGTTGAAGATTCTCTCTACTTGCTTTCTATAATCAGTTGAAATTGAATTTCGATTCAGGCATACGATGTTCTACAAATCTGATTTTGGTTCCTTAATATTATTCCATCTGATTCTCTCCTCTTTCCCCCTCTAGTTGTGGATATGCCTCAACTGAATTCCACTTCCTTTATTTATGCTGGTGCCTTTATTCATTCCAGAGCCTTCCCTTCACTCTTTGCACATTGTTGCTAGCTAATTGTAACCACTTATGCCACCTGAACATCCTTCCCATGTGAAAGCGTATGGAGGCTTAGCCCAACTCTCCAATTCAAGAAATCATGACAATCAAAATAATGCTCCATAGAATCAAAGCCAATTCGCGTTTTCATAATGATTAAGAACATGCTCAAGGGAAAACCACATGAGCTGATATCAATTTTTTTTTGATAATTTCATCCTTGATGCAGGTCAATGTGAACTTGGCTGGGCTGCCTGCTCTGGTTTTACCATGTGGTTTTGTTGAAGGGGGATCCACTGTCCTGCCTGTTGGTTTTCAAATGATTGGAGCAGCATTTGACGAGGTGGGTGTATATTCTTCTTTCGTGAAAAATACTGAGTGTGTGTGGTTTCTTAACGAGTGTAAATGGTTCTCTATCGTGTTGTTTAGTTTGTCTTTCTTTGAGATTTTTTACTAATAGGGTCAATCCATATCAACTCCCAAGATTGTTTTCTAGAATAAGCATTTGTTCTTAATATTAAAAATGCAAATGACCTGCTTATTTATGCCTGCTTTGCATTAAACTTTATATGTGCTGCTTCTGAAGTGAAGACTCAAATTTATGGTAATAACAATTTTATTGCAGGAGAGGTTGCTTAAAGTAGGCCATATCTTCGAACAGACTCTTCAGGGTTCCTCTGCCGTCCCTCCGTTGGTAGCAGAGGAATTGACACGCTAATTATCAACAGAAGCAACTCATTAAAGATTTGTTTTTGAATCAACTCTAATGTATAAGAGGATTTTGGATGTGTTGACCTGCTGATTGCTACTGCTATCACTTCCATGCTTCATAAAGCCATCGTGGTACAAGTATAGGGGATTGGGTTGTTTCTCAACTCCGTTATCCCCGGGTGTGTCTGAAGAACAACGCTTGGTTGCACACGATCAGGGTATAATCTGCAGTTAGTCATTTTTGCATTTCTCATTGTACAAGTAGCTTAATTGCTAGCAAAATTTATTCTTGTCATATTCAATGTACAATGAATAAGGTTTTGATATAATCACTGGACGGTTTTATCCTTTCATTACATGCACAATGGACATAAAATTAAATGGAAGTAAAAATTGGCTCAATAACGCTAAGTAATATAAACGTTCCTTCAGCCAAATGATATTCTCACAACAGCTTGATAAGGGTTCTGTTCATGAATAGATTAAATAAATACAGACGATCATAAAGCTCTTATTCAAAACACGAAAATCTCATCGGGTTGGGTCCATCTAGTAATAAAATCACTTCCTTCTACAGAAATCAAGAAACAGATCAAAGCCACACAACATTATTGGGGTACAGTAAACTTACCTCCATTTCAAAATATTATGTCTTCATCCTTGTGTGCACCTTGGGATAACATGTCATGTGCTGAACCAAGAGAAATACCCTGCTTCAAAGACATTTCCTCGGCGATCATCTCCTCTGCAAATGCCTTGGAAGATAAACGTTGTTTCTCGAGCGCTCTCTTCTTGTAACCTTGTATCTTCTTCAGCCTGAAGAAATCCTCTCTTTCCAATTCATCTAGCTCTCCCTTGATGTAACTAATTGTATTCTCCAGCCGAGGCTTCACAACATTCTCCAGGGCATTGACCCTACGATTTGTGGTCTTTATTGCATCATCGAGGGTTAAAAATGAAGTCTGCAGCGTAGCAAGCTCAACAAGCAATTCAATGGATTTCACATAGGCTGCACGGCAAGCCTGTATCTGTTGGCCACCTCTTGCTAACCCAGTCAAGTTATTCTTCGTTTCTCCATCAATGAAGTAATCAAATTTCGGAAGTTTTACACCAGCAACATTATCAGTGCGGGATCGGACTTTAAGCGTTGCACTTGAGACATTTTCAAGGATGCTGTGCTTGATGTTCTCACCAGCAACATATTTTACCTCTGTTAAGGCGAAGGACGAAGTTTTCATGATTTCTCCCATTGATTCCTTAGTTGAGACAATCTTCTTGAGAATTTGCCGGAACTGGACAGTCAAAGCATCACTTTTCTTCTTGAGCAAAGCGTGGCCTCTTGTAGCCCCAACAAGCCGAGCTTTCACAACTCCAAGCACTGTAACAGTAGGAACAACATTCAAGCGCTGGGTCTGTCCAGACATTTTGTTGAAATTTGCAGCTGAAAAGAAAAAATCTTGTCTTAATGGTCAAAGAATATAGTCCAATCCCACAATTTTCAATATGACATCATAAGCATGTGCACATCTACGCTGAATTGTATGCTTCTCAACAATTAATCTTGAAGAACAATCACAGATGCTGCATGATTATCAACAGTAAAGAAATAAATAAGGAGTAACCTGTTTTTGGATCTCTCTTTTATGGGGTTTCGTCTTCCTTTACACCTGAAGCAATACAATATAACGATATAAGGCATATCACACAAACCATTCAACATCAAGTGGCACAGACATAGCATACAACCAGCCTTATAATCTGATGCTTTGACGAGTCCAAACAATCCACCTTGTTCTTTTGCACACAAAAATTTAGGTTACAAATCAGAAAATACATGGAATGTTGTATTAGGGGCTTCTAATTCAAATATCTAACAAAAAATAAAACAACTTTGGTGCTGGAATTTGACTATAGAGAATTGAAGAATCTCATGAAGCTTGAATAGAATTGTAGAATTTGGTGAATATTAACTGCCCAATGAAGTTAAGAGACTACAACTAACCTACTAATTTTTATCTGCTTGGCTACTTTACTAATAGAACTAGAATTATAAAATATAATACGGAAATTGCAAATTTATCGACAAACTAACAAAAATTCCAAAAACCGTAAAATATTTTTACAGCCAATAATCTTTCTCTGTATTTCTAACCTAGTGCGAGTGTATGTAACTCATAGATCCAGCAAATTATTCTAAACTCCAAGATTTTAACAAAATCTGAATAATATAAAATCCCAAGCACTTATAAGTATCACATTGAGGAAAATAACAGAAAAACAATAACAAAGATAATGAGATCGCAAACTTATAAAGATCAAATACATGATAAAAATCATTAACGGCTATCAATCACAAAAATTGACAAAAACGACATCTTGAATTACTTAAACTGCGGCTTTCAATGTTTAGGAAATGAAATACGCCATCCTAATCATTAATGTCCACATACCACACCAAATCTGCAGAGATACACGTATATATATACACACATACAGATAGAGACACACAGATATTCATAAAGAGAGATACCTCGGTCCGAGTACAGATCGACCAGAGAATCACCGGAGGGGATCCGGATGCGACGCTGGAGGGGAAGAGGTTTATAGGAGGACTAGAGAAGATTCGCTTGGCTGTGCTGTCTCTTCTGATAATTTAATTATTTATTTATTTATTAATAGGTAAAAGAGTTAATTGCAATAATGGTTACTGAAGTTCTAGATATTTTTCAAATTGGTCATTAAAGTATTTGTGTGACCCATTAAGGTCATAACAAGTGTAGTAGTGGTTAGACCCTCACGTGACTAACGGTGGCAAAAAAGCTCGTCGACTCAGACGGCTCGAGCTCAGCCCGAAAAAAGCCCGAGTCGGGCTAGGCTCGGGCTCGATGGAACCGAGCCTAGGCTCTGGCCAAGGCCCAATTTGGGGGGGAGGGGTCGACCCATGATTAATAAAAATAAAAAATAAAAATAATAAAAATAAAAATTTTTAAGCTAAAATAGCTGAAAAAAATTAAAAATAAAAATAAAAAATGGAGCCGGCTCGGCTCGAGCTTTTTTTTTTGGGCTCGGTTCGGTTCGGCTCATTGACACCACTACACGTGACTGACAAACGTTAAAGTGATCCATTCCTTCTATTCGATCTCCAATTTTAAGCTAGAATAATGTTATGTGTACACCATCGTGTACATATATGGTCCTTTAAGCTATGTTAGGATCTTTTTTTAATCTTTTAATGATGAAATATAGAGTTAGTATTAGAAGCAGTAGTTCAAAAGTTTTTGACAAAACGTCAAGTCGGTCTCGTAAAAATCGTGTTTTATTTTGAAGTTTGTAATTTCCTAGTGATACTTTCTAAAAAATTGCGATCATCCGAATGAACTCCTCCGTTTAGATGACCTAAAAAGAGGGCAAGTATTCTAGTTTTTAGAACCAAAAAACTCATTTGAACACTCGCAATTTTTCAGAGAGTAACTCGTGACATGGACACGACAATCATAAGTCGGTGTCAATGAATAACGGGTCGACGTCGGATTCGGAGTGGATGACATTTTAAAGGAAATAATATTATTAACTTTAACGACCAAATGTAGCCAAAAAATACTTAAATAACCAATTTGAAATTTTGCTTTAAACTTCTGTGAAATTGAAATGTCTGACCCAAATTTAATGTTTGTCTGGACAGGTGGATCAATGTGCCGTGGATCAATAGCCAAGTTGCAGCTCCACATTTGGTCACACAATTTCTAATTACACTTTATTTATTTTTATCTCGAAGAAAAAAATAAGATAAAACAATGACGTTATCTAGAAAATAAACAGTGTTCATCTTTTCAATGTCAAAAAAACAAGAAATTCAAAAGGATTGTTTATTATTCTAAAATAAGGGATCATCAATACACTGATTATTGTTGCATACTGTGTGCTCTATGCAGTCTTACATAGTTACATTAATCAGTTTAAGATGGCAAGAACGTTCCGAGACCGGAAAAATTATTACTTATTTTCAGAAAATTATGGATTTACCTACGCATTCTGATGCATATGTATAGATCATAAGAGAGTCTAGACCCCAGATCCCGCCAGCCGCCTCTTAGTGGCATTGGAGACCGACACTTGACCGAGTTTATCTGTTTCTGTTGATCGCATTCGTTCTTGTAGTGGCATATAATGCCGTAGCCAAACGCCAGTATACGCCTGGAATGCAAAACGAAGAATAAGTTGCAGTGACATTCTCGTTTCTTTAGCCAAAAGATAGATGGAAGGGGGTAAAAACTGACCTGCGCAGGTCTCATTATCTTTGTATCAGGATCATCCAAAGACTCGCGCCAGTGAGATAAATATCCAGCCATTCGAGGAATTGCAAATAGAATAGTGAAGAACTCTGGGGGAAAACCCATCGCCCTGAATTGTTGTAACGACAATATCAATGTTAAAAGAATTTTTGTAACAATTTCCCCCGAAAAAGGAGCAAATGCATTGAACATTCTGTGCATACCTATAGATTAATCCAGAATAGAAGTCAACATTTGGATATAACTTCCTCTTCACAAAATACTCATCTGATAAAGCAGCTTTCTCCAAAGCTATGGCCACCTGCAAATGACATGAATCAAGATCAGCCATATGTAGATATGTCTGTTAATGCTTATATATAAGTTGTCGTAATTTTAGACTAACAATGACATTTTCAAGTACAATATATATTTTTATTCATTAAGAAGCATGTAATTACCAAAACAAAGACCCATCTTCACCCTGCCAAGAGCACCACGGCCATTAAGACTCTATATCAATGGTTTACTGTAACATTTATCTTACGTGTATAGAAAATCGAGTCAGGTCCAACTGCAGTGCCAAGGGCTGGCAGGATCATTTCCCCTCGTGTAAATTTGTGAAATGAAAGAGAGCAGTTGATGGAGAATTAGGATGGATTTTAGTATATTTAATTTCCATTTCTAAAGTTTATTTTAGGAAACATAATTAGTGATTTATTTAGAGTATTTTCTT